GGTACTAAAGAATTGAACTCCAAGTTCAGCTCTTGCCATCTCGTGTTTGTTCTCTAAACAACATGAACATACCAGCTAGGCTTTGTACCTCCCTATTGGTAAGATGCCTTCAAGAACAACACTGAAGGTCTAAAGCCAATGCTCAAGGACTTATGGATGGACAAAACATGCAATCCCTTTTGGAGATGATCACCTTGGTTCGACAAGAATAAATTAAGAATTGTCTAATAAGCTACAGTTTCAACATCAAGTGCGCAGCACGACTAACTAGGTAACTCCAATAAACATAATATTCAAGAGCCAGGCGAAGCATTAAAAGGTTATGCCTAGAACTGCAACATTTTCTGGAACTGATAGGATTTACCAAACGTTGAATGAACTGATGCTAGTAGAAATCCTTTACCTAAGTGTACTAATAACTAATAAGCACTAATGAATCTGATAGATTGATTACAGTACTAAAAACATAAATCAAGTTTAACCACACTGATTCTCAAGAATTGAGAAACGACAGCTGTAGCAACGAAATCACAAGTCACAACCCAGCATAACACCCGATTTGCACATCAAGAAATTCAGGACCTGTGTGATAGCTGACTAATCACCACCACTTCTGATCCCTTGGCTGCTGAGGTTGATAAACTGCCTAGGTATGATATGTATGATGACAGAATTAACTCAATCGAGAATAAAAACTTGCAGACCTGCACCAAGGCCGGACCCAATAAAAACTCGCAGATCTGCGAATCTGTTTGGCTGCTTGCTTTTACAGCAGCAGTGGCTGCCATGGACAGTGCCTAGTTGCAGCTGCAGCGCTGTTTATACCACCAGCAAATGGACAGTGGCATAGGTGTACGCATGTACACCCGATAATTTTTGTCAAAAGAACGAAGTTGGTAGGCATAATACATGTATACACATACTCTTACACTTGTGACTAGATCAGAACCGAATACAGATACCTTAAATTAGGGTTCGGGTGCTCAGTTTTGCACAGGAGGGGGAGGGGGAGGGGGCCAGGGGGGCATACCTGGTACGGTGGGTGGTCGTCGCCGGCAAAGGATCCGACGAAGACGGGGCAGCCAGGAGTACGGCGGCGGCGGGCGTGTTCCGTTGCTCCGCCTCCGCCTGGCCCCGTTGATGCAGAAAAGGGCCGAATCGAGCGTATAGCTATCGGGCCGCGCGAGGAGAACGGGCGAAGAAGAAAAAACAGCTCGCAGTGGCAGGAGAGCAATTCTTCCAAGTGACCAAGTTCCATGGCTATCGGGCCCATTTCTCACTATTTTTTCAGGTGCACACACATAACTAGGCTGGTTCGGTTACTTCGGTAGGACTGTAGGAGAACGGCAGCCTTCTCTTGTAAGAATCCTGCACCTAAAAGGGCCGGGCAGCGTGGCCACATCGCCCGCTTTTCGAGGCCGTTCGATCGGCCACGCGGACGATCCAGATCGAACGAGCAGCGGTTATTTTACTAAAAAAACCTTTCTGTTTTTCTAAAATCAACCCGTGCTCCAGAGGCCCTCTCAGTATATTTTTTAAAAAACACCTCAGATTATTTCGAAATCAACCCGCAGTCTAGATCGGATGGGCTACGGGGTTTTTTGCAAACAAGACCTTCTCTTTATCGAAAATCAACCCACGCTCCAGAGACCCTCTCAACAATTTTTGCGAAAACCTCCTCATATTTTTCTCAAATCAATATTCAAGCCACCTTTGATTATATCTCTTTTTAAAAAAAATAAATTAGCGGGAACTTTAAAATTACATAGTAAATCACAGAAAAAAATTGTAAATTAGAAAATCAAGTTGATCTGAAATCCTCACGAGTAGAACTATGCAGTGCATCTATAATATGACATGTTTTAGTAAGATTTTTTCATATAAACTTTTACCTATGCTTTTTAGGGGTAAATAAAATTATACCTTCATGATGATAAAGTCTCGAAAATACATAAAAATCATAAAATGAAAAAAATTGCTGAGTTTCTCATCACTACACCTATATTCTTATTGCCACTGGTCTAATCGAAAGGGAAGGCGCGGCAAAGCCACGCCTGCGTTTCTAGTGAAACTGATTCTTAAAAAAAAGTTAAATGGTTCGCTCTTTCTCGGTTTCGTTTTCATTTGTTTCTCTTTCCTTTGCCATGATATTTGGTTTTTTTTGTTTCCGTTTGCTTTTTTTACAACAACACTCAAAAGAGTGTCTCATAATATATATCGAGGAAAACAAAGACTAATACAGAAGATGGATAATAAGACATAAAACGACCTTTAAAAATAAGAATACATAAAAAAAACAAATCGGTTGTCTTCTTCCTTCGATCATCCGCTGCTTGCCGGAGCTTGAAAATCGCACTGAACAAACAGTGAAGAAACAAAACACCTGCAAACATCCTCACCAAAACATGGCTTTGAAGACCACAAAAAAAACTGGCAGCTGACAACAAGATCTAATACCCACTAAAAGAAACCCTCCAAGAAATATAGGTCTGCAATTCTTCACCATCACAACATAGTGTTAAAAATACCGGCTGTCGAATACACCGAAAAAAGATATCAAGATCATCGCATCGAAAGTCCAACAGCTATTTCCCAAGGCAAACGTGCCAACTGCCAAGATCTGGAGAGAACCAACAAATCTGACAAGCCATGCTCTCACTGGCCCTTCGTCGACGCCAGATCGAACGTCGTCGAAGTAGAGAGACCGAAAGACCTTATTCCAATGCACCATCGTCGCCACCACCTCGTCAATGACACCAGAGACCAATGTTTTCCTAAATGGTAAACGATCTTTACATGGTCGTCCTTCGTTTAACGTTTAGGCTGTTTACACGGTGTTTAAACAAAGTTAAACGGTCTAAACGGTTTTGTAATTTAAAAAAAATACATATAATTATATATGTGAATGTAAAAAATCAAGTATTCTAGCTTTTATATATATATTTATCCGAGTAAAAATCAATTATTTTGGTATGTATATATATTTATGCATGTAACATATCAAGTGTATATATTTATAAATATAATAAACTTAAGTATATAAATTTATCCATATAAAACTGAACTAGATTTACCTCGTGTTCGCCTAAACAGCCGTAAACAGCTGTTTTGCCCGTTTAATACTGTTTATCTCCGTTCCATTTAGACCGTTTTTCTCGTTTTTTAACCGTTTAAACGGTCAACCGTTTAATTTCCGTTTCCCCCTAAACAAAACAGTTTACCACCGTTTATCATTTAGTGGCAGTTTAATCGGCCATTTAGGCTGTTTAGACGAACAATGTGAGAGACCAAACCCTACGAACAGAGAACAAACCTATATCTACAAAGGGGTCAGGTCCCCACTCCTCTAACCACTGGCGAGATCACCGATGGGAGAGAGGAGGGGGACCGATGCAGGTGACGATAGAGGGCCGGTGAGAGAACGCCTCCTGAGAGGAACAGTTTCCACGGTGGAGCAGTTTCCGCGTGGCTAATTTTTAATCTGATAACTACTTTCATTAGTATCATTGGCCTCGTTCGTTGGTCTGAAATTTGGCTGAAAAATATTGTTCCGACTGGTTTGTTGTGAGAGAAAAATACTGTTCGGCTGGTTTGGTGAACAGTAACGCGTGAGAGGGAACCAGCCAGCTGGCTGGTCGCCTCAGACCAGCGAACGGCACCATTGTTGTAAATGGCTCAACGCCCTGACCCATATAGCTTTTTTAAGGGTCCATCACTAATATGATATTATCAATTTATTCCGTTATTTACTATTAATGATGCTTTAGCTAAACACTATCATTTGGCTTAGCTATGAAATATTTTAGTACCACGAACCTGGCCACTGCAAATATTCAATTCTTACTCCAGAGGAGTATAATATATTTGTATCCATCATGTTCTTTACTTAATAAACCATTGAATATTGAGTGTTAAATGAATATGAATGTTAATGCAGTCGTGACTATGTTGACTGATTTAGGGAGTGTTTAATAATTTACGTAGACACATGTTCTCCTAAGCATGTACATGTATTTGAGTATTTATGTTTATGATTTTTTTTATTAAGTAAATGTTTTGTACATAATAATTAGGTAAAAATTTCCGTGTTTTTTAAAAACGCTAAATTAAATAGCCTCTACTATAGTCAGTAGAGTTCTTTTATAGCTTTAAAACGAGGAGGTTACTAAATGTCATAGCCACTATTTACAACATCTATTATTATAACTCTTGTAGTTAATAATCATTTCTATCTTTTGCAAATCCACTAGTTAAGCTTTTTTTTCTTTTTTGTCATTGGCCTAGGTAAAAATGGTTATTGGTCCTTTTCAATCTGTGTTCCAATTAATTTATGATGTTCTTATTTCACACAAATATGCCATGAGATTTTTTCTCTCCTGAATCTATAGCATTTTTTCTTGTGATGTTGGAAAGTTTTTCTTGCGATGCTGGAACATATTTTCTCTTGAAGTTGGAATAAACTTCTCTTAAACAAACATTTTGGTCATAAAGCAGGAACATTTTCTTACCGAGCTGTAACATTTTTCCAGTGAAGCTGTAATATTTTCTTCAAGAAGTTGGAACATGTTTTTATTTTTATTTTATGCAAGAATATTTTTCTTCTTGAGTTGAAACATTTTGTTTTTAAGCTAGCATATTTCTCCCCTGAAAGCCTACTATGGAGGAGGTTTCATGAGAGTGGACAGACTAATTTGCCCAGCCTGTTCGTTTCCTTGATGAAGCCAGCCTAGGCGGCTGTGGCTGCCAAAAGGCACAAGGCACTGTTGCTACAGTGCTAAAAATACAAGCAGCCGCTGCGGCGCACCAAGAATTTGCCATGGGAAAACTTCCTGCAGAGGATGATGCTGGCATCATCAAGACGACAGGTGTTGTTATTGATACAGAAGAAGCTCCATTTGCCCTGTTTTTTTCATCTCGTAGGGGCACTCTGCAGCCACAGCTACCATTCATTCCATTTGCTCGCAACAAAGCCATCCAGGCACCTAAGAAAGCAGACAAAGATGTGGGGAGCTTTCCTGCTCATTGGCTCCCCGCTCCTCATCCCCTCCCCATCCTCATCAGTCATCACCACCAGAAAACAACACTTTGGAGCAGAGGGCAAACGCATCCTGGCCAAGTACCCGTCAGGGCCTCTATCCGAAAACAAACACCCAAACCACACGCACACCGCGCCCATTTTCCCACTCCAGCCTGACGCCCTCACCCATGTTTTGTGTGCGCACGCGTCGTCGTGCTTCTCGCCAAGCCCCAGGCAGCGTCTACTCGTCTAGCTAGCTAGCCAGCCATGAGCACCGGCGACACGCTCGACAAGCTGGTGGTGTTCCTGGCGAAGCGCGATGGCATCGACAAGCTGGTGAAGACGTTCCAGTACGTCTCCAAGCTGGCGCACTGGGGCGCCGAGTCCTCCTCCCTCCCGGGCTCGCCCAACGCGCCAAGAGCTGGGAGACGGCGTCCGGGCTGAGCCGCAAGGCGTTCCGGTCGGGCCGGTTCCTGACCGGGTTCAACGCGCTGCGCCGGGGCCCGCCGCCGCCGGGGGATGAGTTCGGCGCGCTCGCCGTGCTTGCCAACGCCGGCGAGATGGTCTACTTCTTCTTCGACCACTTCGCGTGGCTGTCCCGCGTGGGCGTCCTCGAGCCCTGGCTGGCGCGCCGGGCCAGCTACGTGTCGTCCTTCGGCGAGGCCGTCGGCTACGTGTTCTTCGTCGCCATGGACCTCATCATGATCAGGCGGGGCCTGCGGCGGGAGAGGAAGCTGCTGAGGGAGAGGGACGGTGGCGGCAGGGACGCGGAGAAGGAGGTGCGGAAGATCCGGACGGACAGGGTGATGCGGCTCATGGCGACGGCGGCCAACGTCGCCGACCTCGTCATCGCCGTCGCGGAAACCGATCCCAACCCGTTCTGCAACCACGCCGTCACGCTGGGGATTAGCGGCCTCGTGTCAGCGTGGGCCGGGTGGTACAGAAACTGGCCCTCGTGAACTGGATGTTTTTCTTTCTGTTTCGCTATGAAAGATGGTAGAACCATGTAACACTGCAATGGAGAATCGAAATAATAAATACTTAACATAGCGTTAATAGTGCATTCAGGAGCGTGACCGAGTTTACCTGAATATACGAGCACGAATTAGCGTTAATAGTGCATTCAGGAGCGTGACGGAGTAGTATATCGGAGTACTAACATTGCAGGGAAATAGCATTGGGAAATGGTCAACTGCATTTGCAAACATCATCGCCCAGGGGCTGTTGGCGAGGATTGAAAATACCGCTTCGGCTGGTGTTGTGAGAGGAAAATACTTCGACAGGACGTGAATAGTGATTCAGAGTTGGTAAACCAACCCAGCCAAATTACTTAAAGCCAGCTTACCTGTTGGAAGTTTGAAATCACTACTAGGGCCATGTGTAGCTACAATATCATTTTGTTTTTATTTGGTAGTGATTGTTTAATCGTTGATAATTAGCTCAAACGTTATCTCATCGCCAACATTTAGTCATCTATGTATGTTGCCAAGTTTGATGTGACCTGTCTTCTTTTGCATATTGCCAAAGTTTAGAATTTGGGGGACTAAACACCCCCTAGAAAGATCCATGACCTCATTCTTCCTACTGCAGTCTGAAGGCATTGACTCCCCTGGCCAAAATTCAATAGGATTCTTATTCATGTGCGCTTGCGCTTCAATGTGTATCAAGCGAAAAGCTCTTTCCGGCAGCGGTAAATTAAAGTTGACCTGTGAATCCAATTCACGTCCTGTCGCACAGCCTGAACACGAGTGCACGAATGTGTGCAGTGCGCTGCCAGGCGTATGCAAACTTGAAACTTCAAATGCTCCCTGGTGGCCATCCGGGCTCACCGGTGAAGAACAGTGCACCATCATAAATGAAGGCAAGTTTTGGCCCTGTTTGGTTCTAAGCTTCTAAAACTTTAGTTTCTAAAAGTTTTAGGCAGTCTTCTAAAACCTCCTAAAATAGTGTTTGGTTGCCCCTCTTAAAACTGACTAAAGGCAATAAATGTTGTTGAACAAAGACAATTTTACCCTTCTTTAGGGGAGAGAGAGAGGGAGAAGGCAATAAATGAGGGGTAGTGGAGGTCCATGAAGGACTTTAGAAGGTTTTAGGAGGGGGTGGAGCTCCTAAAGAAAAACCAACCTTCTAAAACTTTTAGGAGGTTTTAGGAGGGGGTGTTTGGTTCTTTAGACAGATTCTATCTAGATTTTAGCTCCTAAAACTTTTAGAAGGGGTAACCAAACAGGACCTTTATTTCTTTTTCTTTAGCAAATGAGAGCCAAGCTGGATTGCTATTTGCTTGTAATATCCTGACACTGACCCCTCGGTAGAGACCAGCATAATAGAGATAAAAATAGGGATGGCAGTTAACCCGTGGATGCGATTAACCATGGATGTCACGCCGAAGGTCCCCTCTCCTCCTTACCGCCGGCAGACGCACCGAAGAGGAAGAAGAGAGGGGCCCTAGGCAACGGTGAGGAGCAAGGACGGTGGCGGCTGTGTTTTCTGGCATGTGTCTTTTTTTTATCGGACATGCTCATATCTACATCTCAAGTGAATAGAACACAAAATAAAAAGTAGGGTACAAGGGATTTTATAGAGTCAAGCTATTTGTTTGCACGATGAAAAAAATCCTACGATTTACAATTATAGATACTGTAGAGCTAGTAATTCTTGCCCATTAGCAGCCTGTTTGTTTGCTCGTATTTGGCTTATAAGCCATGGCTTATCAGCCAACGAACAATATTTTTCTTTCACACATAACCAGCCAACAGTACTTTCAGCCATGGCTTATAAGCCAAACCAGTCCAAACGAACATGGCGTAGATATGTTTTTTTTTACAATGGATGCACAATTTAGAGTCAATCTGAACCGTTACAGTTTTGTTCTGATGGAGGTATATAAAATATTAGAAATAGATAGACGGTGACGCGCTCATTATATTAGACTTATATTCTTTGGTTTAATCTAGGTTGTTATATCATCATAAAATTTAACGGTGCAAACTATTTATAGGGGTTTCGACCCCTCCTGTTCATAAAAAAATGTCCAAACTATTTTCTTTTTCGATTAATTTGCTAATTTCTAGTCTCTCTCGGTGAATGTGGTGGCTTATTTTATCGCTATTCTATAGATAGGTACTCTCTCCGTCCAAAAAAATACAATTCTAGCATCAAGTTAGAGTTCTCACATTTGACCAATCATTTATAAAAGACATAAATAGTTATGACGTCAATCATTAGATTTCATATGAGATATGTTTTCTTTTGGTGCAAAAAACATTAATATTTTTTTGCATATATATTTGATCAAACTTTGGACACTTTAACTAAGAATACACCCTAAAATCGTAATCTTTTCAGGACAGATGTAATAGATAATATAGGGGCGGATCTTGTATAAGTGCCTAGGTATTGCAAGTAATACCCAATAAATTTATCAAACCATTATGAATATATCAAGTATAAAAATATATGTTAGTTGCATTTCATTTTCCATTATTTTCTTGCTATTCGCTATCAAAAAGTGCCTTATCAGCCTAATCTCAACACACTACACCAAGAATTTCTTAAGCCCACATAAATTATCATTCGTCAATCGGTCAACTAAAGAGCTATTTGGTTCCTTCTACAGTAACTGCGACGTGACCCTCTCAAACTTATATTCTTTTATAGATATGCATAGGCATGGCGTGCCTCAATCACACATGGGTGCATGCATAATGCATTGGTAGTGTGAGCATCTATCGCCTTCTGGCCCTGTTCGGTTTACCCCATATTCGATTTATTCGGCTTGTTTTTTAGCCGGAATAGTATTTTTCTCTCACAACAATTCAGCTAGAACAGTGTTTTTCAGTCAGTTTCAGCCAAGATTCAACAAGCCAAACGAGACCTATCTACACCAGTACACCTAATCCTCAAGTACAATTCAAATCTTAATCCCACTTAAACCTAAGGCTGACGACCACAATGACATGCATACGGACAGACGCGATGTAGTGATGTGCAACTAGTGATATAGATGGTTTTGGTTTGAAAATAACCAACTTTAAAATTCTGGATCCACCATTGATAAATAATGGATCTGTCTAGCCAACAACTGGTTGTTTTAACCTCTCCCAACAATCATATTTTACCCATGCACTTACATTGTCTTAAAGCTATATTTACACCGCCTTATTACTATATTTACAATGATTTTTCAGTGTAATTTATTGAACATAGTGATGTAATTTGCGAATAACACAAATATATACTAAATTTTTTAAAAAATTACAAATTATTTTTATAAATTTCAGATACCAGAGAAATATATGTCAAATTGTTTACAAATATCGTCAAATTGATCACAAATTATGCACAGAAACAGCAACCCCCACGAGGACATATAATGGCGTGGATGTTTGTTTACTATATACTCCGGCGTGGGTAGCAGGTAAGCCACGACGGTGCCAACGAAGGCACACAGGTTAACGAAGCGCACGGCGGCCGAGACTGAGGCAGCATCCAGCAGCTCCACGGCAATGGAACGGTCCACGGCATGGATGGGTGGATAATCCGGTCAGGCCCAAAACAATCGAACGGTGGAAAATCCGGTTGCTAGGTTCCCCTAAAACAACCGGTTGATCATTAGCAAATCTGTAAATAATATATGTAGATACTAATCCTTATAATCAAGTTACAGCCAATTCCTATGTTTGCTGCTTCTGTTATGGTCTCTAGTTTTCCTTCTTCGTGAACGCTGCAGTACTTCTGTTTGCTCTCAGGAAGCTGGAGCAGGTATAAGCTGAAAGAACACGGTCAGATTTCAAATTTGAAGCGTGATTTATAGCAACTGGCACACACACACATTAATCTGTTGTTGCAGCCCATCAGTCTATTCGCTTGTTGGTTTCAGCCAGGATTTATCAATCATAGTACAATATTTTTCTTTCACAACAAACCAGCACTAGCCGAACTTATCATCCCAGAAACCCCCAACGAACAGATTGCATAATGCACCGCAGATAGCCGTGCAGAATGCAGATTTTGTCCTCCCAACGCCTATTCTAACTTCCTTCCCACATTGCTAAACGAGCCTCCTTGCGCTCTTAGCTGCGTACTTGCAAGTTGTATGGTATCGTACTTGCTCGGATTTAGCTGGGCTAGTGGCCTGCACCAGCACAAACGAAGCAGATGAGAGGAGAACCTTTTGAGTACGAGTTATTAAAGGCTTAAAGCTGATCCGGACACCAGTCATTAGGCTAACCCCCAACCAGAGCCTTCCGTATCCACGAATTTACCAGTGATTAGGCATCGTAAAGATGAGGAGTTCTCGGTCTGTCCCAAAATAAGTGCTCATTTTGCACTTCAAGGAGTCAGCCAATCTAAAGTTAGACTAATTTTATAAACAATAGTATCAATATTTATATCTCTATAAATTGATTTATTATGAAAAGATATGTCGTGATTAATCTAAGAATATGTATTTTGTTCCATAAGCATTATTACTTTTATGTAAAACCTGCCTGCCACTGTTCCATAAGAATATGTATCAACACACGTTACGAGCACTTGTTTTGGGGATGGACTCAGTTGTTTCTCAACAGTTTCACTTGTTGGTTTTAAAAATAAAATCGATCGTCGATCGTTTTTTTTTACCATAAATCAACTCCATCCAAACCACCGAAACCAACCAAATGCACGCCCATGCAACCTCTGTAGCACATTGAACCTCGCCCTGCCTTTCCAGCAGGAGACAAAGGCCGCCAGCTCATGCTCGGCTCACCACTCCACACGTGCGCAGCCACTCCCGTGGTCCGTACGTACGCCGCAGCCAACATCATCCATTCATTTTCTCGGCTTTGCAGCCTTGCTCGCCTGCAAAACCTGCCTGCCACTGTACTCTCCGTCCTCTTTTTCTATCCTTTTTTTTGACAAAATCCACTGGCTTCCCGTGCAAGTGCAACAGCAATCAACAGTGTTTTTTTTTTGTTTAGACCTGCATCATGGCGTTTTTGTTTACTCCTCCCGTCCATTCGTGTCAGGATCAAAGCTAGGACCTGGTTTAGATTGCAAATATTTGCAACTTGAACACTGTAGTTTCGTTTGTATTCGACAAACTTTATTTAATCATGGATTAACTAGGCTCAAAAGATCTATCTCGTAATTTACAACCAAACTATATAATTAGTTATTTTTTTAAACTACATTTAATGCTCCATACATGCGTCCAAAAATTGATGTGATAGAGAGAGAGTGAAAAAACTTGGAATTTAGAGGTGATCTAAACAAGGCCTAGAATTGTGTTTCAGGTTTAGGGGGTGTTTAGTTCACTCTCAATTCCAAGCTTTGACACTATGCAAAAAGAAGATTCCTCGTCACATCAAACTTGCGGTATATGCATAGAGTACTAAATGTTGACGAAATCTAATTACACAGTTTGGTTGTACTTTGAGAGACGAACGTTTTGAGCCTAATTAGTCAACGATTGAACAATTATTACCAAATAAAAACAAAACTCTACTACGTTTTGAGCCTAATTAGTCAACGATTGAACAATTATTACCAAATAAAAACAAACTCTACTGTAGATACAGTGTTGCTACAGGAATTCAGCCGTCGCCGATTCGGTGAAACTGCGGCGCGTTTACATCCGAAAATTTTTGGGTTTTGGGTACCGTAGCACTTTCGTTTGTATTTGGTAATTAGTGTCTAATTATGGACTAATTATGTTCGAAAGTTTTGTCTCGTAATTTCTCACCTAATTGTACAATTAGTGCAAGATTCGATTAGACACTTACTGCGCAAAATTTTTTGGCTTTTGGAGGAAACTAAACGGGGCCTAAACGAGGCCTTAAAGTTAGAATTGCTTTTTTTTTTTGTACGGAGAGAGTAGACCTGCAGCAAGGTGCCAAGGTGTTGTGCGATTTCGAATGCCATTGTTCTCCAGCGTGGGAAGGGCAGCAGATCTCGGAATTTGGAAACGGAACCAGCAACAGCATCAGCAGGACAATGATTCATCAAATGTGCCAAAGCTTCGTGTCTGTTTACTGCTGTCTCCCTTGCTAGCAACCCGTGGAGTCCTTTTCGATCTTGGCAACAACACAGGTTCCCACAGCGCTTGACAGACAAATTGAAAATAGCGGGCTATTAAAGATTTCATTTCATTTACAACAAGAACGACATGATTAGACCGAAGAAGATACTGGTACAAGTTATTACAACATACAAAAACTACAAAGAAAGCGAGATATCCCTAAACATACTACTACATGGCACTAAACACACGCGGCGGCAGTGGCTCTCTGGCTCTGTACAAGCACAACCAGCAAATGCTAAGCTACGTCTGGGTGAGTGGGTGATGATACAATACAAGTGGAGAGTGGAAGCATCACCGGCGAGACAGCGAGTCCCACAGGTCCGTACACCGGCGGCGTGCGAACCCGACGCGGCCGGCGTCCACGTCGTACACCACCTCGAACCCCTGCTGCTGGAAGTTGCCCAGCGTGCCGGCGGGCCCATCACCCTCCTCACCGGACGCGTCCCCGCCGTTCATCAGCATGAGGCACCCCACGTCGTCCTTCCTCTCCGCCCCTGCCGCCTCCTCGCTCTTGAACCCCATGAAGTAGTTCCTCCGGGGCAGCGCCACCGTGGCATTGCCCCGGAAGTGCAGCGCCAGCGGCGGCACGCCGCGGTCCGACGCGGCGGCGTAGTGGTAGCAGGGCGTGAGCCCCGTCTGTTCCTCGGCGCGCTCGGCGCGCGCGAACCCCGCCGCGGCCATCGCGCGGGCGAACGCCTCGACCACCCGCGCGTACGTCTCGTTGGGCAGCATGGTGAAGGTGGTTCCCGAGTCCACCACCATCCCGCCGTTCCCGGCGCGGTCCACGCGCGCGAGCTCCGGCCGGGCCTGGATCCTCGTCGCGCCTACCGAGACAGCCTCCAGCGCCACCGAGTAGAAGTACGGGTGCTTCGGGTTGTGGAGCAGCGGCGTGTACACGAAGCCGTCCGCCTCGGCTGCGGCGCCGAGGCCGCCGCCGCCGGCGTCTGGGCTGCGGCCCAGGATGAGGGGGCTAGGCCGGATGAGCCGGTCGGCGCGGAAGGAGTGGGACACGAGGCAGTACGAGAACCTGCCGGAGAGCTGCGGAGCTAGCTGGCCCGGCAGCGAGAGCGGGCCGCGGCCGAACCCCGCCACCCCGACAGGCTCGCCCAGCGCCGTGTGCGCGCAGGCGAAGGTGAAGTTGTCGACGGCCACGCTGGACGCGCGCGCGCCCAGCCCGACGCGGCCGCGCCTCAGGTGCGCCACGAGGCTGCCGTCCCCGTACGCGTAGTACAGCGGCGGGCACGCGTGGGACGCGCCGCGGCACGAGCCCGTCTCGATGTCCTCCAGCGGGCACCCCGCCGCGGCGCAGAGGTCCGACGGCGGCGCCGAGGCGTGCGCCGCGGAGCAGAGCAGCGACGCGCAGGGGACGCGGCGGGAGTCCGGCGGCGGCGGCTGCGGCGGCCTCGAGTGGCCCGGCGACGGCGTGGGCTTGCCCTCGCAGAGCATGCAGGTGAAGGGGGCGCAGGGGAACCACACGAGGTCGCTGCCGGTGTCGAGGAAGAGCGACACTGGCGCAGCGGCGGACGCCGGCCCCACGGACAGGGACAGCGTGTAGTCGCTGCCCGGGGAGAGCGGGAGCGAGAGCTGGCGGTGGCGTCCGCCGTGAGGCGGCGGCGGGCTCCTGCGCGCGCGGTGCCGGCCGTGGCGCGCGGCCGAGCGGAGCGACGAGGAGCGGAGGAGGTGGTGCACGGGCGTGGCGGTGTCATTGGCCCCGCGAAGCGAGGAGAGCAGCGTGTTGGTGAGCGGGAGGAGTAGGCCGTGGCATTGGTGTTGGAGAGCGAGGACGAGGAGAGCGGCCAAGCAGCAGAGGAGACGCATGGCTGTGCGGTTTGGGTGTGAAAATCCTCGGTTTTTTGGGCGTGGCGACGGTGGACTCGGGAGGTTGAGGTTTAGCGGGGGGTTTTGAAGCGTGGAGACGGTGCAGCGGGTGGGACTGGGGCCGGTTGGCGAATCTTATCGCGCGCCACGGTGGTCGGTGGGACTGGGACTGGCGCAGTCCGTCCAGCCGGGGACGGTGCATGGAGGCCACGCAGGCGCGGCCGCCGCTTGGTTTTGACGTGTGTGAACAAAGGCGGATCACGGTCGCGACGTCGCGGGCGTGGCTGTGCAGCAGTCGGGTTGCCCGGCAGGGAGGGAGAAGAGTGAAGCGAGGCAGCAGTGAGCTGATGCCGGGGAGTTGCACTGCCAGCCACCGGCTGGTTGACCTCCGCGACACGCGGGGCCTCATTCAGCTCTGACTAATAATCTCATCGATTCATCATCTCGTGGGCGATCGTCTGTGACGCAATTCTCTGGGCTGTTCGGCTGATATTAAATCAGCGTGCTTACCAGGCGTACTTGCATGCATGTATCGTTCGAAAATGGATTATTTAGATGGTAAATGGTGTGAGAGAAAATCACTGCTTTACGCTTTGGAATTTACGATCGTTTATGAAATGAATGAACTAACTAGGCTCGGCCGATTGATCCCCGATTACAAAAAACTGCTTTATAATGAGTTAAAATTCTATAAATTTTTAATGCGATAAGTTGAAGCGCCCTGGGCTCGAGGGGAAATGACGATGGTTTATCCGAATGTACTAGGCGTACTTGCATGCATGAATATTTCTGCTTCTTTCTTTCTCTCTTTTTTTTCACTTGAGTTGAAAGCTGATCCGTTTTTTTTTTTTGGAAGATTTAGCTCCTGAGTTCGTAGCAAGGACAGCTATGCATTTGATTGAAGTAGAGAAAGCTGTTGCAACATACGTACTACAACAAACTAAAGGCGTCCTGATAAATTTCAGGAGGACGCCGTACTTTCTTCGCTTTTCCGGTCTCCTCTTTTAGGTGAACCCCGTACTTTCTTCGCTTTTCCGGTCTCCTCTTTCGTGTAGGAAAATACGTTGGGGCTACCGTAGACGATGCAAAGCAGCAAGCCAAACAAAATAGATATACAAGAGCCGAAAGGCCCTCAATAGGATAATCAGGAACCCACCGAAGTGGATTAGTTCGACTGATCTTTCGCCTCAGAATAGTGTCAGTTCCCGTGAATTATTAGGCGCCATCATGGCAGCGTTATCGTGAGCACAGTTAGCTGGAACCGGTGCGCCTACCAAATAAGAGGGTGTTTGGTTTCTCCTTCTAAACTTTAGTTGCTGTCACATCAGATATTTAACACATATATGGAGTATTAAATATAGACTAATTACGAAACTAATTACATAATTTGCGACTAATTTGCAAGACGAATCTTTTAAGCCTAATTAGCTCACGATTCGCCAATGTGGTGCTACAGTTACCATATGCTAATGACGGGTTAATTAGGCTTAATAAAATTTTCTCGTGGAGTACCGACGGATTCTGTAATTTGTTTTTTTATTAGTATCCAAATACCCTATACAACACCCTCACATAATACCTTCTAAATTTTAATCACCGATCCAAACAGCCGCTTAAGTATCGGCAAGGTTTTTGCATTTCTACATGTTGTGAAGGCGTACATGCAAAAACAGTTCTTTTTGCCGCGTTTGATTGGGCAGCAGCGTCTGCCCCTGTTCTGGTGCGCTCCTCTACTGTAGCAATGTATACGCGTCCCATTTGAAATACGCATTCCGCAAGGTACGTCACGGACATCCTTGTAGCGTTACAACAACTTGTAACGTAAACTATACAAGACGAGAGGTTAATGCAGGGCCGTTGCATCCTTTCCTTGCCTCGGAAGCTAACAACTGCTCTCTCAGACTCGCTTTCTGACTTCTGAGATCCCAAATAGTACGGATTAGGGATTCGAATTTGAAATCACGTTCACTGGCTCTGCGAAACACCGAGCCGATTCGATTCGATTCGATTCGATTCGTCGAATTGCGGCAGAAGAAGACGAGCGTTCGTGCAACTAGCTGATGTACGGGGACGGAGAGGGACTCGGGGGACTTCGTAGAGACAGCAGCCAAGCTTCACAGGCAACGCCCGAGACAGCGAGGCCGTTGTCACCTTCCTCCTCCGCCGTCGCGTAGCCTGTCTCGGATTCCAATGCCATTGCCACAACGACAAGGACTCGCATACGGCGGGCGGCACCGCCACCGCGGCAGCGAAACGGAAGGCAACGACAATCTTGGTGAAGGACATCTCGAGTTCTGGACATCCGGACATGAATGCAACGAGCGGCTCTGCGTCTCTGCAAGTCTGCATTGGCTTTGGCTGCACCTGCCTCTGTGCCCTCTCCATGATATCAATCAATATGACGTGATGATGGACAGGTATGGGACCGTACGCCGGCCGAGGATAACAGCTGTGGATAGCTGGCCAAGCTGGGTGCTGTCGTATGGCGTGGGCCGCGTGGTCCGTGCTCGAGGGCCCCGGCCGATGGACGCTTGCCAAGAGGCTAGAGCCTGGTGCTAGGCTCTGGTTTGTTGCCTTGTTGGTCCACACTCCACAGCCGCGAATGCAAAGCTGGGAAACCCTACAGAAAGAAGTTGCCCTACTGTTCACGATTCAAGAACGCAAGCGTCTTAAGCCGAGACAGTGGTAGACCGAGGAATGTTTGTGGCTTGTGTCATGCACTCATGCTTTGCATGTCCTCTCTGCCGTCACAAGGTAACACGGACGTTATTGGTTTTTTGAAAGACATCTGGCTGTTATCTGGGCCAAGTTAACATAGCCACCGTCCATTGGCAGATCCAAAAATATTTGTTAGGAGAGGCACAATGCAAAAAATAAGGGGGGAGAATCCCTTTTTATTTTCCGCTTCAATGACTACAAACTTATAATGAGAGCTCCATACATCCGGCGGCGATAGTAAGGGCTCGAGTCTTGGCTAATCTGACGCTGGATCCGCCCCTGCCATCATCGTCTAGTGTACCGATTGGTGGTTTGCTTTGCTACGAACTCGGCCAGCACATAAATTACAACTTAAAATATTGCCTAAGACCTTGTTCGGCATGGCTTTGACTCCTCGAGTGCGCGGATGAACCGAAGCCGATGAAGCCAAAAATTGTGGCTTCAAAGACTTCTAATTAATTTTGAGATGTGAGAGAAAATGACTGGACATAGTGCAGGGAAAAGCCGAAGCCACCTCAAGCACTACCAAACGGGGAAAACAATTGTGTGCAGTCTCTGTAACACCCCTGTTGTCACGATCTTATTTATCATCGCGATTTAGGCCTAAGAAAAATTTTCGAAACACTTTTTCTCGGATTTTAAAAATTAAAAAACCAGCTTTTCGCGTCAGCGGTAAAAATCGGGATTTATATTTTAAAACGTTGTTGTGGCGATTTGTTTTGCGCAAAAGAATTACGTAATGCTTTAATATTTTGTTCCATGGCGTGGTACGAGTATGAGCTATGGTGTCCGATATTTTTATGTGAACGGTAGTTGCACTGAGCATTCAAGCATGCATCAGGTCCTTTTTCTTTTCCCCGCTCTATCTCGCGCGCCTGCTTTTTCAAATGCCTCTTGTCTTGTCTCTTTGCCTGCCTTGCGCGGTCTCATCCTTGCCCGCCTCCATTGTCCCGTCAAATTAGTGACCTTGACGTGCTGCCCTCGCTGGCACTGCCCTGCGCACGCCTTGGCCAGCCGCCCGCGTGCATTTGTTTCCTCGTCGGCCCCGCTCTCGTCCTTCCGGGCCTTTCCAGACCTTGGCCGCACTCGCTGCTGCTGCTGCCCTCGTGCGCCTTAAGCCGAAAGCTGAGCCGAGCTGCTGTCTGCCTTTGCTTGTCCTTGCTGCCGTGCCGCATCCGGCCGCCTGCGCCCTTTGTCTTGCACGCCCGCCGTACCAAGTCGCAGCATCACCGCCGCTCGCCTTCCGTTCATCGGAGCCGCGTGCAGCTCCACCTGCCGGGACGCAGCCACGCCGTGCCGCAGCGCCGTTTCCCTTCCCCGCTCCTCGCCACTGCAGAGCACCCGGCCGGACCGCGCCACCACCACATCCCCGCCGTCGTTCTCCCATCTCCTCGCGTGCGCGTCGAGCCGCGTGGTCCCGCGCCACTCCCCGTTGAGGATCATGCCGTCCCTCCCGCGCCATCCGCACCGAAGCCGTCGTTGCCTCAGCGCCACTGTCGCGCGCAGCTCCACTTTGCGTCCGTCGGTGCCGTCTCTTCCCCGCGCGCAAGGCTTCCTTGGTTACGCGCTAGAGCCGCGGCCCCAGTTCCTGCTGGCCCCCCACGTCGTTCGCCTCGCCTCGCTCCTCCGCGCCGTCGTGGCCGCTTCCTCTACCGCCACCGCGCGCGAGCGCGCATGTCCACAGCGCGCCGGGGCCGTGTGTGCGCCGAGTCCGCGCACCTCCCCACGCAGCTCCACCTCACTGCGCATCCCCACTGCGTTGCCGGAGCCACAGCCTCCCGCCTGGTCGGCACCGCCGCAGCCGGCGTGCCGCCGCCACGGCTCGCGTGGGCGGGCCCCCGGGGGCCGGATAGGGTCTTGCCGCGGCCAGCCCGAGGCCGCGTGGGCCACCGTGCAGCTCACCAGTGGTTGTCCGCTGCCACCGTTCGATGCCTCCGCTCCATGCTTTGCTTTGGGGAGGGGGTGAGAAGGTGAGAAATGAGAATGTAGCTTTTTCTAGGGTTCTTATTGCGAAGTATGTGACTCTCATAAATAGTGTTTTCATACCGCGGGTTAAATTGAGGAAAGATCAGGGGCCGTTTCGCATATGTATCGTCGCCGCTGCCGTCTGGGCCGCACACACGCCTGTGGGCCATGTCGCCATTTGGGCCGCCGCTATGCGTCCTGCGATGGGCACATGGTAGCGCTTACTAGGCATTGGCACGCGCCTGCCATACAGGCCGTCCATGCCCGCCTAGGCGGCACAGGTTGCCGATGCGCCTAGGCCGCGTTGTGCGCCTACG